TTAAATATAACTTTAATTGGATTCGTCTGAAAGAAGAAAGTCATATACACCTAGGATGCTTTGAGGGTGAGTAAAATATGGGCTAATTTTCATTTTTGGGTGAACTAATATTTAATATATACTTTAATATGTTTTTAAAATACTGAAAAAAGCAAAAATGTCAGGGCATGTCAAAACTTCTCCAGGGCCCCAAAACACCCTCAGACCCCAGAGGGTTAACTGTGAGCTCTGTAAACGAGATCTGGGCATTAGACTAGCTTTATAAACACATAACAAGACACTGCTCTTTGGACTGAAACAAGAATTTATTTGAGCTACTCTAAGATACATGAAACTACACTACTAAAAGCACATACAGTTGAGAGAATGAGTCTGATGAGTCCCAAAAGTCTAGTATTTGCTACTAGTTCTTAAAATTGCAACCTGAGAAAATCGCAAAAGCAGAGATTTATCTTTTAGCTGCTTAAGAAGATTTAGCACCAGTTTCAGCGAGAGAAGATCATCTTGTCTGATACTTGCGTTCCTGCTGAGGGCGGGGTCTCTTTTTCTGGCAGAGGGAATCCCGTCACTGGTTGGTTGCCGATTGGTCGTTTGGATGACATTTCTGGGAAAACACTCGATGGTGAATGGATTGTTTCTTGTCGGATGGAGCTTCAGGTTGGTGGTTGCTTGGTTACGCAGCGTGACGCGCTAGAAGTTCTTCTGAGGGGTCTGAGTTGTGAAGCGCAAAGACTTTGAAAATTTCTGCAGGGTCACAAAGCTTCAACGGTGTGTTAGAAGTTCTGGATGACCCAATCTTGTAATGGTACTGTGAGGGAGTGCAAGTGAGAGCGCAGTCAAATGGAAGGCGAAAGGGGGCAAGAGCAACGAATTGCTCCAGTCACTGTTTTTTAAGCGAGCCGCTTAAGTCCGTCCCACGCAGCGGTGTTCCAATCAGATGTTGCTGCAGGGCGGGGCCACGCCCCGTATTACTATTCTTCGTATATAAATTAACACAATGCTCCATCTATCACGTGGGGAACATCTCTGTGAGATTTTGTTAATCACTGCTATAAAGTATTGTAATACAAACACTGTGCATCGTACCTAACTTTCATTCATGTCACTTTTCTGGAAATAAAACAAGCTTTCATTCAACATCAAATTTCAGGTATCTTGCATACACATGGTACAGTTAATAACTTTATCTACTAACAGGGGTATAAAAACATATAGGCTACTAATCTTTACAGGTTACACAAAACATATAAGAGACATAAACGCACTACTTGTGAATATATTTGCTCTAGTAGCAATGGTAATAACTGATTGTCTTTTAAAATCATCTGCATGAGTTCATGTGTTCCTTTGTTGGAGATAGAGAGAGTGCATTTTGGAATTTGCAGGGCAAGAGATGTGCAAATGTCCTGAGGTCAAGAAAGTCACGCTGTATGGATCCTCCCGGCTCAATCGTGTCAGATGTAAATCTGTCTTTCCTGTCTCTTCGATTTATCAGTTTATGCGTAGCTGGTCATGAGTTAACACTGACCATCTGTTGCTTCACTGGTTCCAAACAGAGGGAGTTTTCTCCTTAGTTGATTGAGTTAAAATGTATCACTGTTTTAGATCCCTAACACAGAGTGTGACAGGAAGTCGATCCAGACAAGGAGTTGTGTTGTTGGAGTTAGTCAATTTTACGACCTCTTGATGGCCGTGTGGGGAATCTCCAGATCCTGCTTTGGAATGTATTTGTTCAATAGTTCATATGTACACACATAACATATGTCACATAACACTTGCTTTTTGTGTTCTTTGACTGTTCTTTCAGTGTGTTTGCGAGCTTTCTATATATCTGGTGCTCCTCTACCATCATGAGGAGATAAGTCTTTAGATACTGTGTCCAATAAAGTCGTATATATATTAAAAGAGAAATATCTTGTGTTTTGTGCTTATAAGTTAATGTCTTAAACTGCTGATCGTTACCATGCTAAAAATAGTGTTTTCACTATACTTTGGATATTAATATCTGTTGCAGAGTTGATAGTTACGGCAATTCAGTTGACCGCTGGCCGATTCATTTGATCAGCCATAAAAAATGTGGGTCTCATTCAGTAAGCATGCTTACGCACAAATTTATGTGTGAAATGAACGATTTTTAAGAACTAATCACGATTCACCTAAAATTTCATAATAGGAACAACTGAAACCACACGTTACGTAAAAAGCACTTACTCTGTATTGAGTTAAGGAGTTCTATTTCATCCTAACATGACTATAATTAGTATATATTGAAGTGTGTTGCAGTAATTATATTATATAATCAATATACAGTATCTCACAGAAGTGAGTACACCCCTCACATTTTTGTAAATATTTTATTATACCTTTTCATGTGACAACACTGTAGCAAAGTGTCATTTCTTCAATGTAAAGTAGTGAGTGTTCAGCTTGTATAACAGTGTAAATTTGCTGTCCCCTCAAAATAACTCAACACACAGCCATTAAAGGGGTCATATGATGCTTTTTTAAAGATCATTATT